CCCCCCCCCCCCCCCCAATTGTAATACATTTTCACTCACGGATGATATGTGAAAGGACTAGACTCCGCTAATCAAATAAGCTAAAATGCTAAGGCAGGCAGGCTCGTGAATACCGTAGTTATAAAACGGGCATTAATGCAGCTCAGAGAGCAATATCATTAGTCAGTTCTGACCGTTAAGTTTTTTTTTTATCAAAACGATAAAAATTTCACAAGAATGAAGGAAAGTATAGGAAATCTGCCTCATCTCTTTTTTGCCTTACTGTTAGTGTATCCACTACAAGTTCCACCAATATTGATTTTTGACGCACATCGAGGTGAACCGTGAGAAAGATCGCAGAACAGGTACCTACAACAGTCGGTACTCTTAAGGTTTTCAACTCACAGAAGTGGAAGGAATTCCACTACTCTAAAGTGAACCGTTTGGACCATTAACTTTGATCCCTACTTTGATCGGCATCCGTTCAGATTTGAGCTCGTGCAGGTCGGCCTTGGATCGTACTGGTAGAGATTATCTGAACAAGTTCGTGAAGTGCTGTATCACAAGCGTGGTTTGACTCCATCATTAATTTGCGCGCTTAAAAAACGAATTTACACCACATTAAGGTGTAAGGCCTTGCTGCATTCATAGGAACAAAAAACAACTGAGTGGCTGCTTCCAGAGTTTACAGACTTTCGGTCGAAATGCACGTCTGGCTGCTTTCATAGCCCGCCGGCTGACGTAAAACGAATTAGTTCGTATGTAAGAAATGTACGTCTGTTGCATTTTGTTTCACGGGCAGAACGTAAAGAATCTGAGCGGGAAATGAAGTGCAACAGACGTAAATTCCTTACATACGAACTAATTCGTTTTACGTCAGCCGGCGCGCCGGCCGGCCGGCGGACTATGAAAGCGGCCTCTGTGAACCCTGAAAGCAGCCAATCTATACCACCTCCTGGTTTCGTAGTCATGAATGGTCGAGTGTGATTAGATGTCAGTCAGAAAATCATCCCCGAATGTACTTCAATTTCAGTACTTCCCCGACAGCCCTATTCTACGGAACAACGTAGTCAATGTCGGCTTCAATGAGCAACCATACCTTTTTTATCGCGAATTTTCTGCTACGCTGTAATAGAGTAGGCAAAGTGGTAAATTTTACTGACCGGTATAGGCATTAGAAAGTCCGTCGAGATTAACTTTCGGAAAGAAGGGTGCCATGGTGGTGTTTGCAAAATGTGAAGTACTACTGCATAACGAATTGTCATCGGGGTATTGTGTTTCACGTTGAGATCGAGACTGTAGGAAAATATTTTGATTATTGTTGGCGAACACCCGCCGAGCCGAGAGGTTGCGTCGGAACGCTGCTCCGTCCCTACAAAAAGTAAAATAATCCAACCTGCTGGGCAATACGCCATAATTCCCAGATGTTATCGATCATTGAGTGATGACTGAAAAACAGTGGGTCGTTGGTGGCCGACGTCGTAATAAGCATATCGCCTAAATCCATACTCAGAACGCCATAAAAATCATATGGATACGGGCCTCAATCGATCACAAATTTGTCAGCACGGCCATTATTTGGTTTTTGTCGTACACTAACAGAACGAAGTATACATACCTCCTGTAAAGACATGCGGGCCACCATGAACATATTCGAGTACTGCCCACGGAGCTGGATTGGGGCACCCCTGAACGCTAAGCTATCAGTGAGAGTGGGCATATAGGAGGGTATGAATAGTCTCTGACGAATTCATCGGTGCCTCGTTGTTTAGGAGGCCCCAGATACGCCAGCTATATGCCAGTAGAGAGGCGCAAAAACCTACCATTTGTGGTGCGGTGAAAGCAAGAAGTGTCCGAAAATCTGAACTAGACAGAATGGTTTGGATATCGGAATCTCTTAACAGATTGCCAGTACCACCAATGTTTCTCGTGAAAACTCTTGAGCCCTGAAATGCCAAACGTGAGTGTATGCGGTTCACATTTCTACAAGCATTCACTCACATCTACAGTAAGCCAGTTTCTGAATGCTCCAGTCGTAACGGAACCTCCACTTCCTTGTGTACCCATTAACTCGTTACCCCATATGCATGACTGTGCCGGATTCGGTAAGGAAGAGTCCAGTGTAGAGTCCCAATACGGAAGTGCTGTAGAGGGATCGACACGTCTCAGTGCAATCTCCAATCTGAAACAGATGAACTGCTCGTATGAACATGATGACGTCCGAAATATATTCTAGGATGAGCACTACACGCGTTTTTTTCACAAGGTGGTCGGTCTATCTCGATTTACTAGCGTTAATGACCCTCCAAACTCAGGGATAATGCATTTTCGAGCAGGGTCACCTTTTCTTCCATATGGTGATTGCGAATAATTCAAACCATTAAAGAGTACGCCATGCGCATGGCTGCCAGTTGAGGACTTATTGTTGATACGCGCGCGCTCTTCTTCCATTCAACTACTGGTGCAATGCCCTTCATGTTGGTAAGCCTTTTACCAATCGTTCGACCTCAGGGGATAGAAGTTTTCAGAGAGAAGGAGCTCTATTTGATCTCTCACACTATGCAACAACGATTTTTCGAGCTACAAACCGCTTGATGTATTCCCTATGCCAAGGAAGAAACGCAGGTCCAGAGTGCGCTCCTGGTGAAGTGATAAACTGGGAATGAATTCGACCAATTTCGTCATAGTCACCGTTCCCTTTTATGGTCCACATAGCTGTGATATAGCTAAAATGCTGAAGAACTTTCGATTAAAAATCAGTGCTGTCGATTCAAAAACAGTATGATAGAATGAGCTTATGCTTAGATCAGTGTAAGGGGTGGTCATACTTCTGTCGCTCATCATCCGTCATAACCCGAAACTCTTTGCGGATAGCTTTTGACAATGTTCGACCGTTGGGGAGTGTACAAGACGAACCACCAGTGCCTGTAAAGACTGATGTCATACCATATGGGATATGGTCACTAATTATTTAAGAAATGAAAGCTAACCTCCGAAAAAACCGCACAGGCATGCGATATCAAGACAATCGTAGACTGTACTTGGTGTTGTAGACGTTGCCACCGATGAAATTCCCACACCCAATGGGCTTATACCAGCAGTGCCTGGAGCTGAGACGAGAGCTCTTACTGTGGGGCGCACTGCCTGCAATTGTCAAGAGAAAGTATTAAAAAAATGGAACGACTTGCCTGAATTACGAGCAGAATCTTGCTGCTCCTATATTAAAGGATGCGGTTCAGCGCGCCTAGCGCATCTGGTCCCACATGCGCACGGTAGGACATGATCCAAGTTTTCGGGGCAGCTCCCACACACGGCCGATCGTGGTGACCAGCCACATAAAGGTTCTTTTCACAAAACGTAGGAGATGTGAGGGTTCGAACGAACCCTTCGAGAGATTGACATAACGTACGCGAGTGTTCGCATCCCAGTTTGTGATCTGTTGGCAGGTGATCCGCAATGCTGGTGTTGGTGCATTATCACAAATACCCTGTCCGTCCGTGCTTACCAACAAGTCAAATAAATTGTACAGCACAAGCCAAAGCATTGATTGACCTTTGACCGTATATATATATCTCTCTCTGAAAGTGTTGAGAATAAGGGGTTGAAGGCTAAACAATTGCTATACATCACAAGCGCAATCCTACATATTTATACTAGCGCTACTCGGCATAAAAAGTCAAAAATAGAATCACAGTCATCGCAGAATCATGCAAGGAGCTCAAAAAATGAATGATATCGTTAAGAGAGCGTTGATAAACTTAACTTCATGGAAATGGGTCACTTTACACAGATAAAAGCGATCTTCACACCTTTCAGTATTTAAAACTAGGCATAGATGACAAGATAAAACAGTTCAGAATCCCACGTAATGTCCACAAATGTCTGTATAAAAACTCGTCAAAAAACATCGATAAAACTTATAGTGGTAATTAAAAAAGTGAGCGACAAGTGAGCGACACACTGCAATAAAGGCAGCTTTTAAGGATGGGTCTATATCTGCTCAGGTCATTCAAACCTTCATCTCTCATCGGTTCGGTAAACAGTACCAGGCTTGTAAGAAGTGTAAAATTACTGATATGTGCATCGGTTGGCCACACAAATCCTTGTATAGGCCTCATACCGTTCAATACGCACTACGATCTTAAAATGAAGCGGAATGCGGGGGCGCAGCCCGAAGGCAGGATCGATTGACGCTAGAGACACCGACTCAGAAATGTGCTGTTGAATTCAGTGAATTATAGCATTTTCTTTGAATAACTGTTTTAATCGCGCTGATTTCGAGTGAGGTAAATTATTTCTGTCATCATACACGGCTATCACGTCATTATCATACACGGCTCATCATTTCATTATACACGTAGTCGGTGCTCACTCAACGGCACAATCTAGGACAAAATTGGTATCTGAGATTCCCAAATAGGACGGTCCTGTAGATCTCATGTACATATGTTACGTGGGAGGCTGTTGCGTCAAAAAACGATCTACATAGATAGGGTGCAGTAAAGGCCCAAACACTGGCTTGGTTCCACGTCCACATTGAGAGGCGCTGTGTTTTCTTGCTTTCGTCGGGCTGTTAAGTATCGTGACTGGCCAAATATGGTTTCTTATGGTCTCCCCCCCCCCCCNCCCCCCCCCCCCCCCCCCTTCGTAATTAAGTGGAGTCTCGTTACGCGAGCTTCAAATTCATATGCCCACTTGACTTTGCGAAGGCCTTCGATAGAGTGCCCTACAATAAACTATTTAGTTCACAAGCCAGGGGTCTCGGATTTCATTCTACTCTTGCAAAATGGATTTCTAGTCATCTACTTGGCCGAGCCTTTCAAGTCCGAGTAGGGCAGGCTTACTTTGATAGCATGAGAGTGTTAAGGGCACAGTTCACGATAATTTCGAGGTACCCGTTTTTATTCGAAAAGAGGAAGTATAGATTGGGAATAGTTCAACGGTAGTGGAGAAAGCGAGAAAACTCGCCGATTTTGAGAAATATATGGCTTCTCAAAAGTAGGTAAAATGGAGATTGGACGAGATTGCCATGACGGAAATAACATGGAAGGGATATTCGGAAGAGATTTCAGTTATACCAATTGCCCAAAGAGCTGACTACATCAAGCCAGAACTGTACAGAACTGTCTTTCACTGTCGCTATACATAGGTCATGGAAAGTTGTTCGAACTTCCTAAATGGGTTCCCTTGTGATCGGCGCAACCTTTACAATGCCGGTGAAATCGTCCGAGGATACACACGGACCAATTTTTAAGCCTTTATAACTCCCTAACTACGCGTTTTTCGATTCAGTAGTGCCAGATATGGTTTACGCGAAGGCCTCAAATCCATTCTGTGGGGAATCTCAGTGGCCATTTTTATCGTAAACTGTGCCTTTAAGTGGAGTACCGCAAGGAGGGATTCGTTCACCTGTGGTGTTTAATTTGTACACTTCAGAGATACCTAGTTTCCACGTTAGGTTACATGTTGTGACGAAAATGTATGCTTATGATGTAGAGAATTATAAAGTCGTTTCGAGATCAGGGACCGGGAGGTGATACACCAGGCCATTAACTTGTTGACTGGGCTAAGCGGCGGTAGCTCTCCTTGGCCCCCATTAAACTATGTATGTAGTATATGACTATTGTATATCTCCTGCGTGAACTGTGTAAGGGGTGCTACAGTGTTCCACAGGTATCAGGAGGAAGGACGGAATTGCCCTTGAAAAGGTACAAAATAACTTCATGCGTAGAATTCTTTTCCGGTGTAGATGCTACTTCTATCCTGATATTCCTAGAGCCTCCAATCGTAATAGATATCTTGAACTCTAAACTTTGGGATCACGGCGCAAGGTGTTTGATGTGTGTATGGTTCACAAACTTCTGTGCCAGTGTAATGAATTTGGCTCCCTTGATGTTTATAATATAACGCGTTCTCGAAGGAGAGGTGGGCAGAGTAAAATTATGCTGACTGTGCCTAGAAGGAATATAAGAGCCAGAAGTTTTACCTCTAGAGTCGGTAGTCTGTGCCAAAAATTACCCGAAAATCTGATCGTGAATAGGTTCAATCATCACATGACAGTGGTTCTGACCAAGTATGAGCTTTTTTAGAGACTGATCAATTGATTCCATACCTGTGTCTTCGTCTGATCATTGGATCGAGGTTCATTAGGTGTTAAATGGTTTTCGTTTTAGTTTACTCGTTTTTCAACTGTTTCTATTTTTTGTCACGCACGGCCTATTACGTTGATTTCATAGGGTTGTTTTTCACTGTGTTTGCCTTAGCAGCGTAATAATCATGCAACACTCAATAAGGAACTACTGCTCCTAAGGTACCGAAAGCCCTGATGTGTCTCTTCCTGCACACTTCTCGCCTTCCCCCTGCGGATGCACATATTCCATGAATTCTGTTCCGCTCACTGCAACAATCTACACCGTTTCCTGCCTAATCAATCCACGTCGTAGACCTTCAAATAGACGAACATGCTAAACCTTTGCTTTATTCGTAAACGATGTAAAAGGCGCTGTTAGAATAGCTCTGAACATTTGCAATCGTTCATATCAATTCATATTCTTTAGAACATGTCTATGATCAACGATTAATGAACACGTTCCGTAGTAGGGTGAAAATAAGACGAAATCACTGAGAATCGCAAGCAATTACTACAAAAAGGAGAAAAAACATGGCCCGATGGCAGTTTGGTTACAGCATATCTACAATTGACATTGGCATCTCTTCAATAGAGGTATTATAGAAACATTCAATATCTTTCAGCTGTCTTGCATCCTGATCTGTGATGAAATTGATAGCCACTCCTTTCCGGCCAAAACGACCTGATCGACCGATACGATGAATGTAGTTCTCGCGATTTGATGGCAGATCGTAGTTGATGACAAGCGAAACCTGAATGACGAAAACACCATGTAAAGAAGAAAGATCCACAGTTTTGGCAACCGCTCCGCTTCACTTAGTTCTGCTTTAAATACAGCTTTTGCACAGGGTGTATGCTACCGCGATGTAGTTGGGTTAACAGAGTCTGTTTTGTCAAGGAACGAAGCAAAAAAGGCGCGATTGCAAAAATGACGTTGTGTGCAGAGCTCTATACTCACACAACTAATTTTGGTAAGGGATAGGTAGGCTGATGCAGTCGGTGGTGTAGAGATGTAGCTGATCACCGGGAATTAGAATGGTCTAGAAGATCGCTAGGAGGGGCCCAGCATCAACTCATGAAGCACTTCAGTCCGCAAAAGCAGTACGAATTTTTGTATTCTAGTCAACGGAATCAGTGCAGGACGTCCATCCTGCTCCTAGCACTCAGGAAGTGGAGTCATAAACTTATGCAGATCAATTTCTGTGGCACCCCGTCAACCTAGAATTCACATCCAGAAATATTGGAAAATTGCTGATAGACTTTCTACTGAAAGCCAGGCAACTCTTCACTATGCAACCATGTTCGACTTCGACTTAATTTTGGCATGGTATCTTGATGTCGTAGGTGTTTCTTTGAAGCCTTGGCCGAGTCGTTACAATCTTCATTTGACTAACGTTTCAGCCTGTCGCCTTCGTCGGCCTGCAAACCAAAAACATTGGGAGTCATCCTATTCAAACGAAGTTCAGGCCTCTGTTTAGTTAAGGTGTGACCTATAGATGTCTAGAAAGGCCTTTAACACAATAGGTAACAAGGAGCTTTGAGTGTCCTAATTCAAGACAGGAGGATCATTGAACTTTTTCTGGACATCTGAGGAGGGTTACCTGTTGTGATTCGCAAGACCTTTCTAGACATTAATAGGCCACTCTTGAACTAAGCTGAGGTCTGAACGTCGTCTGATTAGGATTAATCCCAAATGTCCTGGCTTCTAGGCTCTGATGAAGGCGATTGGCCGAAAAGTTAGCCAAATCAAATTCGTTACGTCTTGGTCAAGGCTTCAGATAAAAACACTCACGCCATCTTCACTAATGCTTCTGCGTCTCTGCTCACGTCTACCATAGGTGAGTATAATACAGTGGACGCGTATGGACAGACGATAGATGTTGAGATTCAAAACTAACCTGTTGCACATCGATACCACGAGCGAGAAGATCTGTGGTGATCAATACCCTTGACGATCCTGAACGGAATTCTCGCATGATAATGTCACGTTCCATTTGCTCCATATCGCCATGAAGACATGAGACGGTAAACTTTTGCTCGGTCATCTGCTTATTCAATTGCTCTACCTGAATTCGGAGCACTCGATCATTGGACAGTCAATACTTCCGTATTGAGGAATATTTAAGGAGTTCGAAACGCAAAATCTTAGAAAATCTTTAACTTATTAGAGTTATTGAGTTACTATCGAATTTGTACTATTCCATATGATTTCACGTATAATGGCAGACAAACGCAACCCAGTTGTGAGGATTCTGCCTGTGTTGGTGGTTCAGTGGCTTTGAGTTCAACTCCGGTGATTGCGGAGTGAAAGTGCAAAGAATAATGTAATAAGCGCAGCTGTTACCGCTATGAATGCATAAAATAATAATGAACCAGTCGGTTCACCCGGTTAACGCCGGGCTCCCTTCCTCTTTGTCGAAGTTGTACGCTTCGTCGCTTACGCTTATAATTGGAAGTCTCGATCTTTTGCTCTTATTATAGAAAATACATGACATAGATTCAACTTGTAGGCAACCAGAGCCTTGGGCGGTACTCACAAATGTCTAGTGTGAAGATAACACCATTATCAGATATTGTGACCAAAGGACCTTTTTCTTTACGGAGGTATCATTACTTGAAAATTCAGATTACTAGCGATCGGCTAGGTCTTGTCACAAATATTATCAACCAAAGAGGATCCTCCATTGAGTCGTAAACCTTGCTGGGCAGCGGTCGTAATCTAATAGCAAGAAATAAACAAAAATCCCATCGTATCGTAGTGCCGCTGATGGGTCCCTATCACTGCTTTTCCTGATCACTTTTGCCACATTACTCTACCGCCTCGTCTTATCGAATGGAACTTCTGAACAGTCAAAACTACATTGTAACTACCGAAGACATCAGAAATTTGATCGGTAGGTGGCTTTCGCTCTTCTTAGCCCTTTTTATTCTCTTATCAGTTAGTATCGGTCTCTGTCAGCGAGTACCTACGATCCCATTATGTCCTGCACCACCTATTAAAATGCCGAAGTTGCACCGTTAATAGGATAAGGCGTAATACTACAAAATTTGAAGGCTTTAGGTCCATTGGAACAGGAGTTATGAATTTGCGGCCTAAAACTTCTATCGTGCACGCACTACCCCTGTGGGCGGAATCTGGTCCTGCTAATATCATGAGTGTTCCCATCCTGCCCCGTACTCCTACCAAATTTGAACTCTCTAGGTCCACGAGAGCAGGAGTTATGAATTTCCGGCCAAACACACACCGACACACAGACACACGAACACACCGACAAACCAACAGACACACTTAGCGTATTATATAGAGTAGGATACTCTTCCAAAATGTAGGTGTAATCTAAGTTGATAAATATAATTTCGTTCAAGTAGTATTCTGACGTTACCTACTGCAACTCCTTTGGCCAATGACCAATGTACTTTGCCGTACAAGTGTAAGCGTTTATTACTACGTGTATACTGAACGATATTAATACCTAAATCTGCACGCATATATACACATGAGTGCGGGCGGGGCCCAGATACCGTCGCTAATGAGCTGTACGGGAGGCGGTATTTAGTTCCAAATCTACTCACTTCGCACCTTCCTCACACTCCCACTCACTCGCCTTTGGGGTGACCTCCCTTGATTGGTTGGCTGGTGGCTTCTCTAGCAGTCTCACGGAACTGTACTGATTTTATGAATTGGAAACTTTATCGTTATTATTAGTATCACCAGTCGGATTGCCCGGCTGACGCCAGGATCTCCTCTTTCTTGTGTCAAACACCCTATCCCAAGTAATGTTGAACTGAAGGATTTTTTCCCCTTTTTCAAAGTTTATAGGATTTAAGTTTTTTCCCGCTGTTTAGCTGAGTGAGAGTATAAAACTGAAACATAGCTTGAAATAGATTATGCCGACGTAGCATATCACATAGTCAGTTCGCTCGGCTAACGCCGGGCTTCCCTCCTTCTTTGACAAAGTTGTAGTAAGTCGGCCAACTCTCCACCTCTCTTTTTGAAACAAATAATCGTTTCCTGTACACGAAATTCGACACAGGACTAACAGGGCAGTGCAAATGGTATACAGTGAAAGTCGGTGCTTACGCCTTTAATTGGAATTCCCGATCTCTTGCTCCCTTTATTAAAAAGAAATACCCATCAAAAATCAACTGTTAGACCACCAAAGATGATGTTGTGGAGATGTTCTAAGTGATGATACCACCATTATCAGATGTTCTTTATTAATGGACCCTTTTCTTTGCGGAGATGTCATTAGTTAAGAATTCCAGACTACTGGTGGTTGGTTACGTCTTGTCGCAAATGATATCGACCAAAGAGGGCCNTTCGTTGAATCACAAACCTTGCAGGGTAGCGGTCGTAATCTAATAGTAAGAAACGAACAAAGTTCTAATCTGCTTATCGTTTTGCCTTAATGGGTCCCTATCGCTGCACTTACCACTCCCTTTTGTCACCCTGCTCTACCATCCCGTCGTATCGAATGAAAGATATTTACGGTCAAAGCTACATCGTAGATACCGAACCCGTTAGGATTTTGATCGGTAGGTGGCCTCTCTTAAGTCCCTTGTCTTCTCTTATCAGTTATGATCAGTTCTTGTCAACGAGAACCCACGATACCGTCATATAGTACACCACTTGTTAAAATGCAAAGGTTTCAATGTTAGTACGAAAAGTGTAATCCTACCAAGTTTGAAAGCACTCGGTCCACGGAGACAGGAGTTATGAAATTGAAATTTCTATCGCGCACGCCCCGCCCCCTGTGCGTGGAATCCGGTCCCGCCACACACCATAAGTGTTCCCATACTGCCCCCCGTACTTCTACCAAGTTTGATTGCTCTAGGTCTACGGGGACAGGAGTTATGAATTTCCGGTCAGACACACACACCGACACACAACCCACACACAAACAAACAAACACACACAAACACACCGACACACCAACAGACACACTTAGCGAATTACATATAGTAGGGTTATTATCACTTTCATTAGAACACAATGAAAATAATATGCAAGGGCAAGACAATGTAAAAATTCAAAATCTCACATAATATTATACAATACGGAAACTATTAAAATAGAAACAGAATATGGAAATTAAGTAGCTTTATGAGTGACGTACTCGAACATCTTTCGTTCATCTACCAAGGCTACTTGATGTACGTAACTGCAGCAACTCTCAGTCTCTCTTTCGAGCGCATTAGGGCCATCATCGAGATGACAACCTCTCCGTTTTTTATAACCTTATGCACCATTTTTTGATGCTCAGTGTCAGAAGTATGCTAAGTACCACTCTGCATTCAGCGACACGCTTCTTCCAGCTTCAAACCAAGATAGCTGCTCCTGCTGTTCCTTCTTATTCCCACGAATCTCTGCACTTAGCTAGCCCATCGAAACACTGTATCACCACTACTTCATGCACCTCTGTAAACCGAAACCCTTCGCTTCCCGACACCCTAGGCGCAGCTACAGCTTCAAAACACAAATGCACGTTGGCGAAAGGTAGGTAGGTAAGAGAATAAAGTATCTCGTACTAACATAGCATATTAACGATGCTTACCATATATTGGGCTGTCCAAAAAGTCTCCGCCGATTTTCGGCACCCCGGGTTTATCAACTGTTGTACAAATGAACAAGAACCCAACCTCATAAAGTTATATGTCTTCTGAAAGAGTAGGTCCTCTTCTATATTCTTGCTGAAATTCTGTCAACATTTGTAGGAGTTTTTCTGTACAGGACTCGTATGAAAATGGAGAACCACTGCGCGCATTTTCGGCATCTGAAGTATTTCTTCTACCGCAAGGCCTAGAATGCGGCTCAAGCCGCATGAAAGATATATGACGTTTGAGTAAACCATGCTCTAGAGGAACGTATGGTACATGACTAGTTTGCGAAATCCAGTCAGTGTGAATTTACCCTCGAAGACCGGCAACCTTCAGGGAGACCATCATCAGGTAAAACGAGCAAATCAAAATGTGAACCGAAGCGAATTGGCACATCACTACTCGTGGAGTAGGACAAGGGCTTAGTGTTTCGAAATTAACCATCCACGATCATATGCGGGTCGTTTTGTAAAGCGTCTTGATATTTGATATCTCGCGAAATGAGCGAGCGCAATGTGATGGACCGCGACTTTATGTGCGAGTCGTTGCTCAAACGGAATAAAAATGGGTAGATTCTGAAAAGCATAAGCAGGGAGGACGAAAATTGGATTGCGTACAACAATGAGGAGAGGAACCGATCGTGGAGCCTCCCTAGTGAGCCGTCACAAACCGCTGCAAAAGCCAAAATCCAGGTGCGGAAGACTATGGCGAGTTGCCTGTGGGATTTCAGGGAAATCACTTACCATGAGCTGTTGTCGCATAATCAATCGATGACTTCGGAAAGACTTACTATGAATAGCTAGAAAATTTGGAGGCAGCGATAGATCAGAAGTGACCCGAAGTGGCCAATCGTGAGGGCGTAATCTTTCAACAGGGTACCTCCAGACCACACGTATTTTTGGCCAGTCGTCAAAAATTGCTAAAGCTCGGGAGGATGTCTTACATATAGCGCGGACATAGCACCGTCAGAATACCACTTTTTTAGGTTTCTGCTTCCACTAGAGGACTGCAGAAAGCACCTGAGAAGGTCTTCTGATTTCAAGTCTGGAACCTTCTATGGAAGTGGGAAACTGGAGCCTACAGGAATCTGGCGAATCCTCACTGAACGGAATGGAGTATATACTGTTCAATTATTGGATTTTTTTTCTAGGAGTTTTCATTCAAAGATAAATCAAAAATCGGCGGAGTTTTTCGGACAACCCAATAGCACATAATACAGCAAAACTCCAAAAGTTTCTAGATACCTTCCTGATAAAGCTACATGGTTTTCATGTGATGTGATAATCTTGAATCTATGCCTTGCCTCTACTATATATTACTCTAAAATGCGTAATAATAACAATAATGATAATAATAATCCTACTTTATATAATTCGCTAGGTGTGTCTGTTGGTGTTTCGGTGTGTTTGTGTGTGTGTGTTTGTTTGTGTGTGTGTGTGTTGGTGTGTGTGTCTGACCGGAAATTCATAACTCCTGTCCCCGTGGACCGAGAGCGTTCAAATTTGGTAGGAGTAAGGGGGCAGGATGGGTACACCTATGGTAGGTGGCAGGACCGGACTCCGTTCACAGGGAGCGCGGCGTCTGCGTTAGAAATTTTGGGCCGCAAATTCATAACTTCCGTTCCCGTGGACCTAGAAAGCTCAAATTTGGCAGGAGCACAGGGGGCAGCATGTGAACACTTATGACAGGTGGTAGGAGCAGACTCCCCCACAGGGAGCAGGCTGTGCGCGACCGAAAGTTTAGATCGCAAATTCATAACTTCTGCTCCAGTGGACCCAAAGCGTTCAAAATTAGTAGGGGTACAGGGGGCAGCATGTGAACACTTATGACAGGTGGTAAGATCAGACTCCCCCACAGGGAGCAGGCTGTGCGCGAACGAAAGTTTAGATCGCAAATTCATAACTCCTGCTCCAGTGGACCCAAAGCGTTCAAAATTGGTAGGAGTACAGGGAGCGGCACGAGAACACTTATGGTGGGTGTCAGGACCGGACTCCATGCACAGGGA